CAGATAACTAGATCTCTGAGTTAAAGCATTTATATCACAACACTGTCATCCTTGTGTATCTGGTCATGGGGTTAGTCTTTGCAATGACGGCCAGTCAGTAAGTAAGGACCAGCATTTACGCCAGTGACACATCGGGAAAACGATGCTTGACTGACATTTGTAAAAAACAGTCTACTCTCGGTATTTGGGGAGTAGCTGTGGCGTTGGCGGCTAGACGCCCGCCTGCTGATCAGAAAGTCGTGGGTTCGCGTCCTGACGGAGCTAAACTGTTGTTCATAAATGACCTTTACTCCTAAGTTGACCCAGTCTTGAGTGGGTACGAGGTGCAGGCCTGTGAAGTAAAGACGGCCAGTTTGATGGTGACCACATCACCCACCAACCGCCGATTGGTCTATAAATATATAGATCTAACCCTATTTTCCCTTGATTCTAAAGGCGTGGGAAAGGGACCTGTTTTTTATTTACTCTCGATGAGTGATGAGATCAACATCACACCTGCCGAATGATGGTCAAGTATCCCTTTTTCTCATAAGACGCATTTAAAAACTTTACTAGAGGAAACGATTCAAAAAAGGATAAAGTCGGGAGGATCGACTTCATTGCGCCGGGTTTTATCCCATATGGCGCAGTCTCTCTCCGCAGAACGACTAACTGTCTGCTGAGAGCAGCTCTGTAGCTCCGTCTGCACCCGAGAACTTAACGACATAGCCATGAAACGAACCCACGACCCTCAGAGCGAGAGGCCAACGGCTTTACCCCTTCGCCCCGGAGACCCCCTACTGGAAAACAAAGTCGAGGGCAAGAGATCAAGAAGTAGACAACATTACAAGTGGGAGGACAAACAGAAGTCTGAGATAGTGTTCAACCAAGACAATAGACAGAGCGTATTTGGGATCCATTGCAGTCAACCCTCACTGTGGATACAGCACCTGATTGATTGAGTGATAGATTTTTTTTTCTTCTACTCCTTTTTCACCAGTCACTCATTTGACATTCTTCTTTGTGCCCCCTCCCCCCCCCCCCCCTCTTACCACTTTCTTCCTCTTAGCCTTTTTTTTTTTGGGGCGGAAATTATAAAGAAAGGTTTATTGGATCGGCACCTATAGATATGTGTCGAGTACCTTCAAGTTATAGAAATGTTTCTTTGTGTTTTCGTTATCTTTATGACTGCCTATCCTATAGCAACTTTTCATATGTAATGGAACGGTCATAGAGCTTTTGAAGAAGCAAATTATTTCCCGTTATCATTTGGAGATTAACTTAATGGATAAACTTTTATCAAATGTACCGAAGAAAACATTTCAACTAATAGTTATGTACTGCGGGACTCAGCACGATAAGCAATATATTTACATTACTGCTGACCTTCATTTTACCAATGGTAATCGATAATGATAATGGCTTTTTCCTTAGCAGTATTAACTAAATTTATTTTATTTAATTTCCTCTAATTCATTTTTAAAATATTTAGCTTGTTGTATTCATAATGGGTTTCTACTTATAACGTCGTTTTCAACATAGTTATTTATTTATAAAAAATCACATCGGCGACCTTGTCGTCTATTGGCATGCCGGCAATGACTTCATCGCCGGTTAAGACAGTATTTGGGTCTGCCTTCTTTGATCGCATCCTCGCTGCAGAAGTCCTTTTCACGGCTACTTGGTGGCGAGCAATGATAAGCCCTTTTTTATGGCGCAAATAACCTAGTCACATTTATAACCTAAAGCTCCCCCTTCGGGGATTCTGGCTGAAGGTGACGATTTTTTTTTTCAGCAAAGCACTACCTACCTATTTATACCAAAACATGTTTTTTTTTTTTTATTCACGTGTTTGCAATGCTGAACGAGGTCGGGGCCTAAAGGTTAGTAAGTGTGTTTCACAATCTTCGACGTACCAGCATTCGATTTAAGCGGTGAACATCTTTGTTAAAGACTGATCATGGTTTTATACTGTAGTACAAAGTTCACTCGCCTTAAAGAGACTGGCTCCTCGTCACCTATAATATTCAAGGACAGCAGTAGGTGCACGTATCCACTACAATCATGAACCTTCAGTATAAAGCAAACACGTAGTTTTTGTTTGTTTATATTTAGCAGAGACCAACTTTGGGTGGGGGTGGGGTGGGGGGGGGGGGGGAGGGCAATTTTCTAAAAATCTGAAGTTTCATTGGCTAGTGAAATCTGTAAAATATCTTGTGGTTTCGAAACTTAGAATTATAATTTTCTTTTCTGTACGAATTATGGGAACTGAAAATGCAAATTAGGTTTAGTAGACATAAATATGGTTTAAAACGGTTTAACATAAACATTATAAGGCAAAATTAGTTAACCTAACATTTCATATATTTAAGACCGAAATAACTTCTGTCTGTGTTAGTCGACATCACAAACACCATACCGACTTTAGAATTATCAAGGGACGTATGGGTTATGTTAAAATTCTTTCGAACGCTATGCTATCAATGTCAAACATGAAAACTGTCTTCAGAAGACAGGGGAAAAATAGACACGACACGAAATGGTTGCCTACTACGCTAGGTGTAAAAAGGGAAGATAGACTTCTTCTTAAAGTCCATACCTTGTGGCGTTGGTAGTTATGTCGACTTAGAAACGAAGACTCAAAAAAAAAAAAAAATCGAGTCCCATTTTCTGGGAGTTCATAATGTTAAAATATTTTCCAAAGACTGTCTTTATGGACGTTGTTAAAAGTTTTCTCACAGTCCACAAAAACACTGCAATATACTGGGTGGACAAGGATACGACCGTGAATATAGTAGGTGAACAAAGATAATATTGCGAATACACTGGGTGAAAAAAAAGCTGTGAATATATTGGGTGGACAAGGGTAATATTGCGAATCCACTGGGTGGACATCGCCCCTTCCCCTTTTTTTTTTCATAACCTTGACCCCCACCCACTCTCATTAGTCTACAAAAATATTCTAGAATGTATTATTATTACTTATCATTAAAGAACTAATATTTAGAGAATATGAAATTATAGAGATTATATAAGCCTATAAAATATATAAGCCATACTAATTAATTATTATAAAAATGTTTTTCTCTAGTATAACCTTTTAGTTTATGTATGGGTTTAAACATACATAAGCGTTCTATTCTCGAGCTTATTCCTAGAACTTTTATTACGAGTATTCAGGAGACGGCAGTCGACACACCGAAAAAACGGGACTGTCGGAGTGAAAACGGAATGTATTGTTAGCCCGGGTTAATGACGTCATGTCAAGCTGATAACATGAGTACCATGGCCAGTCAGCTGGAGAATGCGTCGGCTAGATCGACAGATGAGCCAAGACTATTTCAATAAATGTCCGTCTCGATTCAGATTTAAACAAACGATAATTCAAACCGGCATGTTGTCAGAGGTCCCACTAAACTGAAAAATCAGTGTAGAAACCGACAAACCACATGCAAGATATCGTTGATTGCCAGTCTCTGTCAGACGTTCAGGGAGACGTCCTGTGTCTGACCCATGCAAGAGTCACATGGCAGTGTCATTATAGATCAGGGCTACTGAACTGGTGGCCCGCTGGTCAAATCTCGTCAGTCCGTCGATGCCAAAGCAGTGAAGTTGAGGTATATAAAAAAAAATACAGTTAACATTTTCAATGCGTAAATAAAGAAGTAATGTAAAGGACATTTTTTTTTCAGTCTTCGGACATGTCGGGCATATAGGGCTAGACCCAAACTTAAACCTATATTTATTAGACCAATAGGCACTTAACACAGAAGAAGCAGTAACTGCTACTAGGCTACATTTGTCTATTTGTCCACTTTTCTTATGCAAACCTTTAGCGTAATTTCGCCTACGCACGATCGAGTAATGGAACTTGACAAACTGATTCTTTGCATGTTTTCTTAAAAGTTCAGAGCATTGTGAACAAACATGCACCATTAAGTCGGGCAATTCTTGTTTCATGTGAGCAATGTCTCAACTGAAGATGATCTGCTGTAGAGTGCTGGCACTACCAATGAGTATTTATTATCCCATCTGGGAGACTAACATCGAGAGATGGATGAACGGCAGGCTAAGCCGGTCAGAAACCGGAGCGAGAAATAAGAGCGTGGGAGATCTATTTCTGCAAACCATTATTGTAGAGGCGGTATCCGATTAATTGATAAATGATTAGCCAAGCTGCTTGAGGAGTCGAAATATAAATATATATATATACCTACATACATACCTACATACATACCTACATACATACCTACATACATACATACATACATACATACATACATACATACCTACCTACCTACACACACACACACCTACCTACTTACCTTCCTACCTACCGACAGACAGACAGACAGACAGACAGACAGACAGACAGACAGACAGACAGACAGACAGACAGACAGACAGACAGACAGACAGACAGACAGACAGACAGACAGACAGACAGACAGACAGACAGACAGACAGACAGACAGACAGACAGACAGACAGACAGACAGACAGACAGACAGACAGACAGACAGGCAGAGGGACGGACGGACAGACGGAGGGACGGACGGAGGGACAGACGGAGGGACAGACGGAGGGACAGACGGAGGGACGGACGAACGGACGGACGGACAGACAGACAGACAGACAGACACACAGACAGACAGACAGACAGACAGACAGACAGACAGACAGACAGACAGACAGACAGACAGACAGACAGACAGACAGACAGACAGACAGACAGACACAGACAGACAGACAGACAGACAGACAGACAGACAGACAGACAGACAGACAGACAGACAGACAGACAGACAGACAGACAGACAGACAGACAGACAGACAGACAGACAGACAGACAGACAGACAGACAGACAGACAGACAGACAGACAGACAGACAGACAGACAGACAGACATTGGTCTCAGAGGGTGTACATTCAGGGACAAAGACATACTATTTTAGAGATCAAGTGTGGCTAATCTACACTGTGATGACAGCATCTGATTGATTTATTAAATGATGTATCCATTATACAGATACGTTTCGATTAGATCTGATATTTTTGTTTGAACACTGAAAGTGTTCAATGAATTGTCCGTCCTAGTAATGCATGAAAAGTCTCCTCCCCCCCCCCCTCCCCTTTCCCCCTTCCAACCTCTCTAGTCTAGACATAGGTAGCGCATCGGATGCTTTCATTAATGTCCAACCTGTGTACACTGCATCTATTTGCTTGGCTATAGAACTCATGATTACATTCAGGAGGTAGAACAAAACACCTTCATAACGGACAATGTCTTTTTGTCATGGCATGGAGTGGTTGTCAGCTCATGAACTGTTACAGTCAGCTGAAGATTTCTCGATGTGGTGAAGCAGGATCGCCTACAACAGTCTGCAAGGCACTTGATGATACTTATGTGTGTGTATGTGTGGACGTGTGTGTGTGTGTGTGTGTGTGGATGTATGTGTGCATATGAGAGACTTTTTAAAACATTCTCTTCTTCGTCTTTTTTGTACACTTTCAGACACAAGCATCAGCTTATTTACAGAAAGCAGCAGTGACTTTGGACACGGCAGCTTCAGTGAGTTTTTCCTCGAAATATGTATTACATGCATGTTAGGAGATTCCTCGTTTTGATGCACAATGCATTACTAATATTGTAAAGCAGACAAACAAAGTTCATTCGTCATGTGATGAGAAAAGGAGCACTGGAAAATACTGTGACAACTGGAAAGATGACTGGTAGAAGAAGCAGAGGAAGGCTGAGAGAAAGATGGTGGATGGCTTCAGACAGCGGCATGGGGAAATATCGTCATTGGAATTGATTCAGATCACCAAAGACCTAGAACTTTCGAGATGCATGAACGCCTACGACAGATAGCAAGGCATTTCATGATGATGAATATTCTAAACATAATGAAAGTGTGTATAGTAAGAGTCCGTGGATTAAGGGTAATGAACACTGTTTCACACTGGTGAAAAACCAAATTTCGAAGTTAGCTACAGATAGTCGCTGCTTGTTGATTTTGACAACGACATGAAAGCAGTACCGTTTAGGTACAAAGGCAAACAGAGTAAAATTTCCAGTTAAATTATACACAGTGAACAACTGCTCGGACTCGTTTGCAGCGTTCGGTAACATATAGATCGGTGTTTTTCAAAGTATTCTTAGTCACGGGGCCTTTATTTCAATTACAATTTGTCCACAGGACCCTAACCTAAGTAAAAGTATGATTAGTCGTATGTAAGAGACAGAAATAAGAAACAAAAACTAGAGTATTTTTCGAATATTTCGCGGCGTCTCTGTGAAGAGGGAGCGCGGCGCACAGTCTGAGAATCACTGCTACAGACAAAAAACCGTCGAGTTCGCTTCAACAGCAAAGAATTGTGTTAGTAGACAGAACAAACACTTTACTTACCTGTGGCACACTGGCAACAATAGACAATAACCAAGAAATCAACAACATCACTTTAGCTCTCAGGTCAGCATCTGTGATTGACAGCGGCCTCATAATGGCGAAATATCGATCAAGACTGATTGAAACAAGGATAAACGACGACAAATAGAAGCCGACCGCTCTGAAGAAGGTGAGAAGTCTGCAGGCCACATCCCCGGCCAACCAAGCAACGGTCGAGTTCCAGGCGATCTCCAGAGGCAGCATGACAAACGTTACAATGAGATCAGATATGGCCAGATGCATTATAAACATGTTGATCCTTGACTTGACCCTTCTGTTTCTGAACAATGTTATAAACACCGTGAGATTCCCACAGGCAGCGACAATGAACATGCAGGAGTAAGCAGCCACGGAGACGATGTTATCGTCAGTGAAATAAAGATGCTTCGGTAGAGGAGGCAGGCACTCGGTGAAGTTGTCATGTATTTGGGTTAAGGTCAGGTTAATGCAGAAATCGAGGCTAGGCTTTCTGCTCTGGCTTTGGTTGACGTCCACGGTCATGTTTGTAGAGTGCGCAACGACAACGACCACCAACTGGTATCCGTTCTCCACGTTCAATGAGAGATCATTAGCTTTTATTGTTAGCGAAGCCGAAGATGGCGTTGTTGGCAACTGTGTATTTCCGTTGGTGGATAATGCTGACGATGATTCGGCGCTGGATGATGCAGATGCAGCCACAACAATGCTGACGATGAGGTGAATGTAGCGACTGTGTGGTCGTAACATTGAATTACTCAGGGCAGGCATTGTCAGGATGACGCGAAGCTCTCTGTTAACTCACACATGCTTTGTACTCCTGAACTGCTACATTCTTATTTGAATTGCTGCTCTAAACAGAGATGGTGCTATCAGATACTCTGAAACGAAAACGATACTACTAAAGAATAGCAGAATACACTAAACAAGGTTAAGCACATAAAGCTTTATAAGAACTAGAAGTAATTACAGTAACACAGCTAAAAGACAATATTCACGCATTCTATAATTGCTCATACTTATCCCTGATACTCACACTATCAAAGTATACACAGCCTCTATATATACGCAGTCCTGTTATACACACATCCCTGTCATACTTACACATTCCTGTTATACATATAGAGCACATCCCTGTCATACTTACACATTCCTGTTATACATATAGAGCACATCCCTGTCATACTTACCCATTCCTGTTATACATATAGATTCCTGTTATACATAAACATCCATGTTATTCATATCAATTCTTTTTATACATACACTCCTCTGTGAAAGATAAATACCTCTGTTATACATATAGAGCACATCCCTGTCATACTTACACATTCCTGTTATACATATAGAGCACATCCCTGTCATACTTACACATTCCTGTTATACATATAGAGCACATCCCTGTCATACTTACACATTCCTGTTATACATATAGATTCCTGTTATACATAAACATCCATGTTATTCATATAAATTCTTTTTATACATTCACTCCTCTGTGAAAGATAAATACCTCTGTTATACATACGCTACTCTATTATAAACACAGCCCCTCTTATACACACAACTTCCTGTTATGAACACAAATCTTCCTTATATACACAACACCCTATCATACAACCCCGCGTTATACACACAACCCCCTGTTATTCACACAACCACCTGATATACACTACCCCCTGTTATTCACACAACCCCCTGTTATTTACACAACTACTTGTTATATACACAGCTCCCCTGTTATTCCCACAACTATCTGTTATACACACAACACCCTGTTATTCACACAACCCCCTTTTGGAGTGGACAGACAAGAGTCTAACTTCTGCACTACAACAGCTGTATTGATATTACTGTCAACAGATTATGTTCTTCGGTGATGAATGTTTGAAACTTCTGACCCCGAATATATCCCCCGATGCTCTGAGAGTCACATAGAAAAATGTCCTGTGCCCACTGTTCCGGCTATTAAATAGCTATTATTAGAAACAATAATAGACATAATTTACCGGAAATGTGGAGCACAATGCAAATGGCACAATCATTAATAATACATTTCCAAGGAAAAAGAGTGCAATCAGAGGAAAATAGGACTAAAAAGGAAATTCAGCAGTCATCTACATTTTCTGAGGGGCGGGAAATGTTCTATTTATTTTCCTCACGGAAACGGTTGAGTTAATTATTTCTTCTGCTTCTTCTTTGCGTTCGGTTTTGAATACTCAAATTTTCCCGTGTCGGTTCGGGGCCCCTTTATAGTAAAAACAAGAATAGACCCACTGCCTACCCAAAAGCATGTCGTAAGAGTCGACTACTTGGGAGCTTCCTTCGAGGTCGGAGTGGATCTGCCTGAGAGGCAAGGAACCAACAGTATGCATACAAATTAGTATGATCTGTCAAACGGATGCACACGCAACACGCAGGTTTTGGAACAGGACTGCAGCCAAAAAGTCGATGAAAAACCAGAACTTTGAGCCAAAGTTTACTGCTGGTAAAACGCGAAGAAGAAGAGGAATTCCAGATGAAAGTGGACGAGGTCGCTTCCCGACACTGTCTTTTAAGAAAAATTATTTGATACCTTCTTTGAGAAGATTTATTTTATAACTGGTCGGGAGGAAATAAGCGTGCGTCTGCTGGGGATTGTAACGAGGTCACTAAGTGGATACAAACGCTTGATAGGCTAACCGCTGTGACAAAGACGCGGCAGTTGCATTCCATCGTTTACGCTCTCTCTCTCTCTCTCTCTCTCTCTCTCTCTCTCTCTCTCTCTCTCTCTCTCTCTCTCTCTCTCTCTCTCTCTCTCTCTCTCTCGTTACTTATCTAATGCACACAAATATATTCTCACACACACAGGCACATACACACGCACAACCTCCACTCAGACAAATTCATCATCCCCTGCAGTTTTAATTTATGCCGCCTAAACTTCTGAGTGTCCCATAGGACAATTAACGTTCTCCCACAATAAATGTAGAAATGACAATCCACAAAAGGAACTTGGGAGGTAATTGCACTCTTCCTCCATTTACACCCTCGCTGATCTCCGCAGGATTATCCGTGTCAGGCTTTCTTTTAGCTTTTGCACGCACACCTCTCCTATCTGCACTGAACTGGGGCTTTTGTTTATTTTATACGGAGATTGTTTATTTATTTGTGTTGCAGAGGTTCTAAAATTTTTTTTTTTTTTTTTGGTGTGGTCCTGGTCTCCATCTTTAAATAAGGCATCCCTCAAAAGCAGAGACGGCGAGTCGTAGACAACTTTTATGGGTGTTCTAAACTGTAATTAATAATAATAATGTCCCTTCATTAATTAATTATTTTTTTCATTAATTGATTATTCTGTTGTGCCATTATATTTCACATAGAACTCGCAGTCTATTCCTCCCTTCCATTCTATCCCCTGCAATCATTCAACATCATGGATTGAATCCAATCCAGCAGCTTTGGCCTCTCTTATCACACTTCGTCTTAGAGTTTCTTTTGGGCGTTTCCGCGTCCTTAATCCATTTATTATTGATAATTTTCTCAACGGCAAACAAATAGATTTATAGTCTTTTAAAACATCTCAAAAACAAGTGCGTTTTATTCGCATCGGAAGGCTAGGCAACATCAAGAAACAATCCAGTCCCATCTCATTATTTCGTGGTCTGGACTATATCAACATATAATACCACTCCATACAGTAGTTAGCAGGCTTATAATTGTCTATGAGATGGTGGCGATACAATATTGTTTAAGTTTAACAATGTTACTATTATTACCGTTATGGTTATTAATTTTTTTCTAGTTGGTTAGGTTCACGTTAATCTCCCCAAATAGAGAAGGTCACTTTTTATTTACAAGTTGGTTGCGCTGGTCGACTTTCCGGAAGGTTACAGGCGTGTCCCTCTCTGTTTGCTTTATGTCTTGTCTTGCCTTTATCTTTTCATTCCTAAAAGGAGAATGCCTCTGACATAGGTTGCAGCACTCTCTAGTGTGTTTGTGTTAGGACCAGTTTGTCTATGTTTTTGGCGTTTTAAAAGTTCTGGCGTGCTGTGAAGTATACAAGAAGCGATACTAACGGCATCGCGTAACATCACTCTGACCTTGTGCGAAGGCCACGGCGCTCAGGAACTACCAATCAGAAGTGAGCTGGTGTGTAAATGGGCGAGGCTTGGGAAGACCCGCGTTACGTGTTCCTACTGTTTTTATAATTATTTACCGAATTGATAATAAAGATGGCTTTATATTAAAATCACTAAAAAAAAATTAAAGTCTATACATGGTTAGTGGTAGAGGAAACTGTCATCTACTGTCTGTATATACCGCTTTTTATGGCGCTATAAACAGGGTACCATGAGCCTTAGATTAAGGGCTGCACAGCTAGTGCTGTCGCCACGGACTGTGCAGTTTAGGATGTTTAATATTGCCCCCAAGAGAAAAACTGCGTCACCTTTCCAGAGCTCGACACCTGGTCTCACGCACCAGAGCCTGTCGCATTTTATTCTCCAAATTTATCAATGTACATAATAACTTAGCGAGATGCTGACCACATGTCCCATCTTGTGCCGATTGGTCTATAAAATGTAGGTCTAGCCCTATATGCCCTATAAGCCTAAAGGCGTGGAAAAGGGTCCTTTAATAATAATTTAAATGGCATAAACAAAATAATTGGACATTTTGCGGAAAAAAAATATAGTACTTTGGAAGCGGTAGCTCCTTTGCCTCCCATCCAGGCAACCTAACACTGCATTAAAGATCTGTATCTGTGTTAATGACGTCAATAACTGCAACGCTTGAGTGATAAACACGTCTTTTACTCTCAAAGTCAGAAGCCCGCAGTCATAGCTAAAGCAGAAAATGGCTACCAGCAAAACATAGCACTTGAGGTAACAGTTACAGCTAATCGAATTGCCTAAATGCTGGTGTGGATTATCTGCAGGTGTATTCCAATATCCAACTCTAATGAAAGCCAGATCGCCGAGCAGATGGTCTTGTGGAAAGTAAAATACGAGAAATATACAAACATTATCTCGTTGTCTTTCACTAAGGTCGTCAAGTATAGTTATGGGTGAAATACAAGAATCGACGGCAGCAGAGTGGCTAGAATGCTTGCATACGAACCCGAATGTGTTTAGTTTGAATTCCTATCAACAAGTATTTTTTGTATAACTGTTAGGAGCTCCAAGGTCGAACCAGATTAAAGTGAATTTTTTTTTTTTCAAGTGTAGAACATAAACATACCGCCGGTTTGATGACATAGAGCAGCGGTTCTCAAACATAATTCGCCGCGGCACCCTTGCCGAGGAAAAACAATATTGCGGCACACCTACCCTTGAAGCGGTTAAATACTTAGGGAAAGGGGGAAAAATAGTGCAAATTAAATGTTCAGTTGTCTTTAATGCGATGAATGAAACTGTTTGGATTCATTTTGCATTATACCCTTTTCATTTTCATTTTTAGAAATTCTCTCTATCATGGATGCGCCTGCCTAAAGAGACAAAGCGCGGCGTTTGAAGACTTCTTATCCCTTATGTACGAAATCAGAATGATTGCATTCCAGAAGTCTCTGTTATTTAGACGGAACCAAGCAGCTGCTAGCAACACTGCTGTGGCAGTTAACACATTGTCCTTCCGGTGCCTGTTCGTTCCCAACTGAAACACAGCCAGCGAAGAAAGGTAGCTAGGATAATATTTTCTTAGTTTTCCTTGAATTGTCTTTTGGTCGTGAGTTTCCTTTCCGCGAAATGAGGCAGACCAACTTCAATGGCTTATGTTCGCAGGTGTCTACCGAG